CGGGCCACCACGCCGGCCACTCCCCGGGCCCTCGCCGCCGCTCGCAGCACCGTTGGGAAGCTGAAGCGGTCGAGGGCGAGTCCGGCTCGGCGGAGGCGGCCGTACGCGACGAGCGTCCGGCGGGGGTCGGCGGCACGGGAGAGGGCACGGAGGGCGCGGTTGGCGAGGCGGAAGTCGGGGCTGGGCGAGTGAAGGAGGACGGAGAGGGCGTAGTCGAGGGAAGAAGGCGACGAGGCGAGGGGGAGGGCGAGAAGCCTGGAAAGGAATGGGGCGGAGATGTCGAGGCCAGAGCGTAGGATTTGGGCGTGGATTTGCTTGAAGTGGGGAACGGTGGTGGCGGTGAGGATGCGGTGGTTCAATGAGGGTGGTGGCGGGAGCGCGGCGGCGAGAGGTTTAAGGGTCGCAGTCTCCATATCCTGTAAGAACGGCCAGGAGATGGCAGGGAAGCGACGAAAGGAAGACGATCGAGTTAAAGCATAAAGGCTTAAAGGCGGATCCGGGCGCCGGCCCGTTATTTTTCGGATTCCTTAATGCCCCGTTATGTTGTTTATAACACCCGAAATTTCGGATAGTGAGAACTCCCGTATTACCAGAAACCTTTCCTAATTCCGGACACCAAATGTGTTACGTCGACAAGAAGCTAGATAACAAATCATATGTCGCCACGAAGACAATCTAGTCGACGTGGACTCGTATTAGGAGAGCTTTCGCGTGGAAGCGTGTCTGATAGTCTCACAGGGATAAGAACCGCGCACTCTCTCTGTACAGAATTACGAATATGTCCTCGTCCTCGATGATTTTTTGCTAATTTAGATAAATGGCATCCATTCTTAACTTCGCTTGAAAACACATCGACCGTCCGATATATATTTTATATATAATATATATTTTCTCTGCTACCCAATTCTTGTCTACGAGCGTTTCGACTTTCGGCTGTCGTCGTCATCGAGGAAACGGTGGAGATCAATCTCGGTCGATGACTCTTATGGCGGCTTCGAGGCCTCCGACGAGAACTCCGGCGATTTTCTGAAGTCCCTGGATTGAGTTCCTTCTCGGTCGAGCGCCATGGCGGCTCCCTTCTTCTCCTCCCCTTTCCAGCCCTACGTCTACCAGGTGGGTCTCCCGCCCTCCATCCTGTGCCCTTTCCGTTCATTGTTCGTATTAGGGTTTCTGTTCGCATTTCTTCTTGGGATCTGACATCGATCTGGAGGCGCCGCCTTGAAAATTTTGGAGATCTTGATCGTATTTGGTTTTATTTGCGTGAATGGGGATGGAAAATTGCACCCTTTTTGGAAAGTCAAAATTAGTCGTGTTTGCTAATGAACTCGAGATTCACCTTCCGTGTTCTGATTAATCTAGTGTTCTGTTTTTGGTGTCAATCCTTGTTCCTTAGTGTCTCACTCAATATATGTATTGCGATATATCATACCACTAAAATGGTCAACTCAGTATGATCTGTATTAAATTCCGTGAGAGTATGGAGAATCTTCTTTTAGACTATGTTGATTAGTTATAGGCAAACCATAAGTTGGTCATGTTATTCTTTGCCACAAAAAGATGCTGATGCATTAAGCAAACTGATAGTTTGAGCTTAATAGGTGGATCTTACCTATTGATTTTGATTGTGCACATTAATATTTGTTCTACAACAGTGATTTTTATTGTGCACATTAATATTTGCCGAATTTCATGAGTAAATCTAGGATGAGCTGAGATGTCCTAGTACAGTAGATTTTTCCTTTAGGTTATTATTTTCTGTCAAGCTTCTTCCTTGCTGTGGAATCATTTCAAAGACTTCTCCGTCTTTGCTGCCTGGGTTCCTGTTAACTTAAGCCCTTTTTAGGAAATTTATGCAAGAAAATCCTTTAGTTCTTGCTTTGTAAAAAGCACTATCAAATAATTCCCTGCCACTTTGTCGACAAATATAAGTCCTCTGCATGTCAAACTGCACAGATGATCATAACGGAAGTCAGTTATCTTGATGATAAAAGTGTTTAAAA